GGAGAGGACCAACTGGCAGGAGAGGGTCACCACCCTCATCGGCGACTGCCCCGGTGCCAAGAGTAACCGTACATCCGGTGTGCCATTGATCTGGCTCTCGGAGCACCGGAAGACATGCCCCGAAGGCGCAGACGAGGCGACTGTGGAGTGGTACGTGCGGGCCTACCTGTGGTATCTTCTCACGGAGGTCGTGTTTCCAGACAGCTCCGGAAACTCTGCCAACTGGTCGTATCTGTTCTTTCTAGCCGACTGGGATGCAGGGTACAGTTGGGGGACGGCATCTCTCGCCTACCTATACCGTTCGGTAAGAGAGTGTCTAGTTGCGTACCTACCTACGAAAGTGTGTCCATGACATTTTCTTATATCTGATCCTCATTTGATGTTTTGCAGCTTGACGACGCAACGCAGAGGACGGGAGACAAGTCCAATATGGGTGGCTTTGTCTGGGCCTTCTCCATTTGGATGTGGGAGCGGCTGCCGGTGGGGCGTCCGGAGAAGTTGCGAAGACTCCCATGGGAAGACTATGGCGAAGAAGGCAACGAGACTCGAAACCCCACCGTAGCTTACGAGTGGGACCTTGTCAAACTTTACACGGTCCTAAACAAGACTTCGTACAAGACCTACACCAACGAGTTGGACGCTTTGACGCATACACAGGTATATGAACTCGCCCAACACCTTTCTCTTTGTTTCCACTATTGACCGAGAGTGCGAACTTACCAAGGTATATGTAATAGGTAATCCGGTGCCCGTATCGACAAGAACGAGAGTGGGCCTTTGATCTGAACGTGATGTGCGATGCGGACCGTGGTCTCTGGCGGTGCATCGTGCCCATGATCTGTGTGTACGCCGTCGAGTGGCATATGCCACAACGCGTGGCCACGCAGTTTGGGATTTATCAGCATACCCCACCGGGCCAGCCCACCGATACCGGCGGCCACGCGCTGCACCTGTGAGCTCTTTGTTCTCCGTGAGATTATCATGTTTCTTGTTGCTTATGATGATCTCATTGCGCTTATGATGATTCTTGTTGCTTATGCCTTGCAGGATGAGCCGGCAGAAGAATCAGTCGATCACAAACTGGGGAGAGGAGCATAAGACTCATGTGATGGAGTGGAACCGACGGAGGTACAGTAAAGACGTGGAGAGGAGAGTGACTAACTGGGATGATTACCTGGGCCGACACATGAGGTGGTACGATGATGGCCAGAAGCACCATCTTCGTCTCAGGCCTCGATGGACGGCGGAAGACATCGCGGAGCTGGAGTGGGCTGACCCCGATGAACAGGCATACCAGACCGGCATCAGAGACATGCACAGTGGATTTAGGGAGTTTGCACCCCTCATCAACAGAGTGGTAAGTTCGAACCGATGGTTGATTTTAAAATATTTTATTCGTCATCGTGACTGACTTATGCCGTTGCAGTCCGGTGAGCTGAACAGATGCATCTTCGATGCCTCAGATGCACTAGGTGATCTTCCCGGGAGCATAGAATCGGAGACCAGATTCAGGGGGACGATGAAGGTACATTTTCAGCCTCCTCGGAACAGATGCATCTTTTTCACTTGCAATCAGTCGATCTGATACTTATTATGACCTTGCTTCATTGTGTGTGCAGAAGTTCGTGCAGTGTTGTCGCAAGCTGGTAGGGTTGCTTGGGTGTGCTGGAGCTGGGTCAGTTGAAGCTTATCAGCCTGTAGCCACACAGGGTATCATCGGCTCATCGAGCCATGCTCCCTCGTCGTCTAGGTTGGTTGGGGAGGAGGAGGATGAGGAGGAGGAGGAGGAGGAGGAGGCCACATATGAAGAAGGGGAGGAGGAGGATGAGAGCAACGGGGAGGAGGAGTACGATGAAGATTATGGACCTCCAGCAACTCAAACGTCTCAAGCATCTCAGCTGCCGAAGAAGAGGAATCCGAAGACGAAGGATTTGCTGAGTCCGAAACCTTTCCAGAGACCGGTTCCTCGACGGCCCAAGAAGAAGACCGAAGACACTCGTTCAAAGAGTAACGAGGACCGTACCTCCAAGAGGGGAAGGAGCAACTGATTATGCTCTTCGATAGTTGGCTCTTTTAGTTTGGTTGAACTTCGTTTGGTTGAACTTTTCTAGTGGTTATGAAGCTACGTGGAACTATGTGTTTGCTATTTGTGGATCTATGTGTTTGCTATTTGTGAAACTAAGTGGAACTCCGTTTACTAATTAGTTGAAGTTCGTTTGAAATGTTCTATGCACTTCAAATTTGTTAATGTGTATGTGATGCCCAAGTTTAATTGTTTGAGATCTGTGATATTGTTGTCATATTTGTGAAACTTGCTATAATATTACTGTCATATTGAATTTGAAAAGAAGCAAGCAATTGAACTTAAATTCATAAAACACAGGACCCTACCGCCAAGGACCCTGACAGTAGGGTCAGACAGCCTACCGCCAGGGCACTTCAATTCTTCGTTACAGAAACATTACACTGAAAAAACAGGACCCTACCGCCATGGGCTCTGGCGGTAGGGTCACACAGCCTACCGCCAGGGCCCTTCAATTCTTCGTTACAGAAACATTGCACTGAAACAGGACCCTACCGCCATGGGCTCTGGCGGTAGGATCGCACAGCCTACCGCCAGGGCTCCTGGCGGTAGGTGCTTAACCACGTTCAGCGCAGTCAAACGGCCGCCGTCCCCCTCCGTCGCACACCTACCGCCATGGGCCGTGGCGGTAGGCTATCTAACCCTACCGCCAGAGGCCCTGCCGGTAGCAAAATGGTCAAATCTCGAAAAAAAATCAAACAGGGGTCAGATCCTGAAATACTATCCAAAAAGGGTCAAAACACGAAATTTGGCCGCAAGCAGCGGTCGTGCTGCCACAGTGGCATCTGAGCCTAGTTGGCTTATGAAGAAGCATCACGGGGCTACCCATTGGCCCATGCCCGTAGTACCACATCACATCAGTGCAGCCTCAGTGCCATTTTTATAGAGAAACGAACGACATGGACCAGTGGTTAACGGCCAGTCTTCAAATATAGGAAACACAAACCAACAACAAAAGGCAAGAGTTGCAGAGCAGGAAAGTTCATGCGCAGCTTATTATTGCCTTCTTTGTGCAGACTGCAGCATATGGGCCATATGTGGGTGGCTATTTCTAATGATAAGACACAACAGCTGAAAGCTCTCTGGACTGTGATCTTGTCCAAAGACAGATATACTGCAACATGTTACAAGTTTAGGACAGTAATTATGTACCCTTACCGAGACAGATATGGTCAGACTAGCAGAAGAGTTAAGACAACTATTATTATCAATGTAAACAATGATTACACTTGGTGCACACTAATCTGCACAGCTTCGTCCAGGCAACGAAATGGAACACTGTGAGCCGGAGGCCACTGCAGATCAGAGGGATGCTTCTCCAGTCTGCAAACCCACTCCTATAGTCAGTCCAAGGGCAGAGTGGAAGATGCAAAATTGCATGTGCAGAGCAGAGCAGTTGCACACGCTCACTGACACTTAGCTGCAAAGAAAAAGATGGCCCGCGTTTGTTTGTTGACGAGAACGACTAGTACCAGTAGCAAACTTCTTTTCATTCAGATGCAAAGGCAAACGATGTCTGAATCTTCCATGCAAGAACAACCCTTATTAGAGGCTTAGAACTTACTTCCTCCGTTCCAAAATAAGTGTTGTGGCTTTAGTACAAAACTGAACTAAAACCGCGACACTAATTTTGGGACGGACGGAGGGAGTACGTACCAAGAATGGAACAATTCTGTCAGAACAAAACACACCTTTGATTTGATCCACCAAAACCTTGAGCCGCTGATTCATCCAGCTCCATTACATATTTACATTCATATGCTACTTCTCTGCTGTCGGAACTATTTAAAACCTTGGTAGACAACTTACCAGATTAGTCCATCCATCCCAAAATAAATGTCTTAGTGCAAAGTTGTACTAAAGTTGAGACACTTTATATATCTGTATGATGAAAGAGAAGGCGACAAGGTATCATCATAATCACAAATCATTAAACGGGGAGCAATAGATCTGTGATATTACAGTATCCATCCATCCATCCATCCTATTTAAGAACACAGCAGTCTGAAATCTTTGTATGAAACAAGGAACTTCAACAGATACTAAAAGTCCGCAACTGATGGCCATAGCTGGTCTAGCCAGAGTGAACCAACATATGCAACCCGACCTTTTGAAATTTTCGTTTCCTACGAAAAATAAAACAGAAGTGCAGATGTGGTTCACACTTTAACCTTATCTGGACAAGTTAAAGATGGGAATGCACTCAAGTTGGGGCACATATGGAATCATTTACCACAAGGAGAGGACACCAACCATTGAGAACTCTCATGCCTTTGGTAAGGACCACACCAGTGCAGCCTCAGTGTCATTTATAGAGCAATGAACAGCATGGACCAGTGGTTAACGGTCAGTCTACAAAATATAGGAAACAGAAACTAACAACAAAAGTGCAAGAGTTGCAGAGCAGGAAAGTTCATACGCAGCTAATTCCCTTCATTGTGTAAGTTGTGTAGCATATGGGCCATATGTGGCTATTTCTAATAATAAGACACAGCAGCTGAAAGTTCTCTGGCTTGTGATCTTGTCCATGGATAAGCAGCATATGGCATATGTTTTGGAGGCAGCAACATGTCACACAAGTTTAGAACAGTATATACCTTTACTGATTGGAAGAATTGATACGAATATTATTATCAATGTAAATAATTACACCTGATACACTAATCTGGACAGCACAGTCCTGATTCCATCTATAAGCAGCATCTTAAAAGAACAGAGCAGCAAATCTGCAACTTAAGCTAAATCTTCCTGACTCTAAGTTGGGCTTAATAATGTACTGCAGAAAATGTAGCTGCTGAACAACTTACAGAGTTAGCCAGTTCTAAGAAACCAAGTAGATTCTGAAGAAAAAGTTGCTTGTGCTGCTGCCATCTTCTAAAATGTATGGCATGGGCTGCTAGCATTCAGCTTGGGCCACTCAAACGAAACCAAAAAGCCCTCTTCCAAACAAGCGCGAGCTTCTCCTCCTCCCCCTGTTTGCGGCTCTGTTGCTCCTCATCGGCGTCAGGTAAAACCGCAGCATGCCATTATCAAAGTTCCCAGGAGAGGTGTAATGGACGCTCCTGCTCCTGCCGATCCTGCATTCCTTGTTCTTAAGCCAATCCGCGCGGAAATTCTGCGCGTCCCCGTTAGCCACGGCGGCTTGGGAGCTTCTGCTTGAGCCCTGGCTTGCTCTGCCTGGAAGTACCGACCCGTTGCGGCCATGCTGAATTTCGCCATTTTCGATGTCTGTCATCTCCCCATTTTTACACCTCCGGGTTTCCCTCCTCGACTCCGAGAAGGACCGGTCAAGAGCATGCTCCCCCTTCCTCACGAATTCTTTTAGTGGACTCGTGATGCTGCGATCCCACACCCTGCTCCACCTGTTGGACCTCCGGCGCCGGACACCTGAGGCCGCCACAGTTATCTCCGGGCCGGCGTCACTGCAACTCCTCCTTCCTCTGAACCTCGGCCCCTCGCCGCCCACATCGGCAGAATGCCCCCCATTCCTGCTCTCTGCTGCAACCTCGGCAGCAGGGCGCTCCCTCGCCGATTCCTCTGCATTGCCCTGCCTGACCCTGGTGACGCCATCAGACGGCTCGTCTAGGCACGCGAAGGAGCAGGCGAAGGCCCTGCCCACCATGGAGCCGTCCCAGGAGTGGCGGGGCGGGTCCAGGGAGGAGCCTCTGGGCGGCTCCCGGCAGATCATCCACTCGCAGGAGCGGCGGAAGCTGGCCCTCCGCTCCACCAGCGGCGGCGACGGCCCGCCGCTGGCATCGCCAGGATGGGGATCCACCGCCCCAGACGGGCGCGAGGGCTCCTCCTCCTCCTCCTTGGTCCCGCGCCGCCGAGCCCCCCGCCTGGGCAGGATCGCCCTGAGCCAGGAGGCGCCCATCCACTTCCTGCCGCCGCCTCCGGGGTGGTCCGCCTCTGACGCTCCGGGATCTTTGGCGTCGGGCGGACGGTTGGCGCCCGGGCGGTCGGCGGCGGCGCCGGAGTCGTCCATCTGGAAGAGCAGCATGAGCGTCCTCCGCAGCTTGCCCTGGTCTTCTTGGTCGCCGGAGGCGGGGACGGGGACGGGGAGGGAGCGGGCGTCGGGGTCGCGGGAGGAGGAGGAGGAGGCGACCTCGACGATCTCGGGGCTGCGGACGGAGGAGAGGCGCTCGACGAGGCAGGCGGAGCAGACGCCGTTGAGGGGCTGGTCCGGGTGGCGGCCGCACCGCCGGCCGGTCACCGGCTCCTCCGTCCCCGTCCCCGCCTCCGGCTCCGGCAGCGGGTGCGGGCCCTCCATTGGGTGGGGTCGTCGGGCCGGGAGTGGAAGCTCCGGCAGAAAGAGAGGGCGGCGAGTGAGTGAGTCAGCGAGTCAGTGGGGGTGTTGGGCGGCAGGGTGGGGGGACAAGCAGGAGGACGAGGGGGTGCGACGACATTGACATGGACATGGCTGGCCGGAAAGGCCAAAAGAAAGAAAGAAAGAAAAACCCTAGCCCTGGTGAGTGGGAAATTCTGGCGGCCTGAAAGAAAAGCGACTTTCGGGGCCTGGGTTCCTTCCGGCGCGTGCGGTGTGGGGAAAGGAAACGAACGCAAACGGTAGGAAAAGGTGGAGTGGAGTGCAGGCGGGGATGGGATCGGGACGAGGTATCGGGCCGGAGATGCGAGTTTGTCGCGGCCGAGAAGTTGGGGGACGGCCGGAGCGGGGTGACAACGACGACGACGACCCGGGGGCGGGGTACGGCCGGTCGCGCACCGCAAACGGGAACCGATCCCGGCTCCGGTGCGCGGGCGCACGGCCACGGACGTTAACGCGTGGAGCGGGCGGGCGGGCGGGCCGGCTGGGCCCCGTGCGTGGTACGGTACGTGCCAGCGGCAGTGGCAGGCGGTGGGGGCTCGCTCAGCCGGTCGGAGGATCACAGGACTCGCGGCGCCGGATTTATGTCTGCCCGTCCATCACCACCGGCAGCACGTACGGTATGGCCGTCACCGGCCGCGGCGAGCGTGCGCTTGTCCCGGATCCGGGCTGCCGCCGTCCTGCCTGCCAGCCAGCCAGCGACCGCACCGCACTACACGCCCTCCTCAACGCCAGCGGACGGGTACTACTCACTGCTTGTTACGCAGTCGGTGGCGCTTCTCCACCCCCCAAAAAAAGGAAACGATACCAACGTTTCCCATGTCAATTTATATTACCGCAATGATGGCAAATTTATTTAGTTTACAAAACACAGCAGTTCCCTGACAAAAATACATGAGCTAACGGGATTTGCCATGCTCGCCCGCTAAACTGTTGAAAATATGAGCAATTTGCCGAGTGATTTTATTAACAAAAATACTAGATAAAGCATGACTAGTGTAGCAGTGATAAAACAAGCCATGCGATTTGACAAAGAGAAGGTAAACAACATCTTCATATATGAACCGTAACTAAACATATCTTGAGCAAACAGTATAGCAAGTTGCATATATGAAATAGAGTCTAACATATCTAGGGCAAATACTAGAACAAGGAATTGTAGCAGAACCTCTAATAGAAAGGGGACAAACACGTACGGGGCAGCAGCAGCAGAAGCGCTGGACTTGGGGTCGGTGTCCTCGCCAGCCATGTCGTCGAGGAGGTCGTGGACGTCGGGGAAGAAGTCGTCGTCGGAGTCCGGGGCGTCCGTGACGAAGAAGTAGTCTCGCGAAGCACTCCCCAAAAACCTTATCACCCTTCTTCCGTACATGACTCAAAAGGTGTGGTTTCAGAGGCCTACTGTCCTGACTCGCGGTGCACGCCGCAAGCCGGGATGAGGAAGACAGCAGCAGCACAGAGATTGGAACCGGTGGCGAGAGGAAGGAGAAGTTCTGGTGCGTCTCTCTGGGAGGAGCGACCTCCCTTTTATAGGAGCAAGAGAAGGAGGCGAGAGGCTGCGCCGGGAGCTGAAGGGAACGCGGGAGACGAAACGAACAGGCAGCAGCCGAAGAGGCGCGTCGTTCGAATTCAGTGTCCACAGACAGAAAAATGTTTCAGCTTTCGAGTGACCTTTCGTATACCCGTAGTGCGTGGCAAAAATTTAGACATCGGCTCGGCTCATTCCCGCAACCCGCGGCGAGGCGTGGCGAGGCGTGGCGAGGCGGGCGGCGGAGAGGAGCGCGCGTGGATGTCCCTCTTGTTCTCATGCTCATACAAGTGGGGAAAGAACCTCCCTTATAAGGAGGTCCAACTCCCACTCAACTAGCAATGTGAGACTAAACTTTAGTAGTATCCCTTGCCTTGCACAAATGGACTAAGTGGGCCTCTAGGATTTATTTAGGAATTTCTGAAATAGATATTGGGCTGTCCCAAAATAGACTAAATTCCAGCAATCCCCCACCAGATCCCATAGGCACACAAAATTTGCCTTTGGTTCCAAAACAATGTTTTATATACCGGTACTACAGTGAAGACTGTTAAGTTGAACTTCCACCTAGAACTCTATGCTACACTAGTAAGCAACTTGGACAGTGGACTGGGCCTTGAACTGCAAGTTTTCTGCGAATCTAGCTTCACATAAAGCCTTGACCGATATGTGGCTACCCTGGATCTTCCCCGCGGGTGGAGCTTATGCGTCATACTCCGAGACCTTTCATGAGTTTACTAGAGAGAACCCTATTCTCATAGATTGCGACATTTAACAATCAGACTCATATAGGTGTATTCTTCAAAAGATGTTCTGCAGGACAACATCTCTGCTTCAAAGAGCCACTTAGAATACATTAAGATATACATCAACCTGCCATGCAGATTAGGAGAGTATTGCATCTTTATGGAGTGGTATTTTTAACAGTAATACTCTCCTCCCAGTTGACCAACAGCTTGTCTTCCACATCTAATTCACGGGATCTCGGATCACAAAGAATAGGTTACCACTGTGACCAACTCATATTGTGGGTCTCATACCCATCTCCCTCGATGCATTATCTATCACATTACGTGATAGATCCTTAGTAAAAGGATTTGCCAGATTTTTAGACATTTGGATATAATCCAATGCAATAACTCCGGAGTTTTTCATTTTTCTGACAGACTTTAACCTTCTCTGAACGTGTCTTGATGACTTCATGTTATCCTTTGAGCTGCTCACTTTAGTGATCACAGTTTGATTGTCACAGTTCATAAGGATACCCGGTACAGGTTTCTCAACTACCGGCAAGTCATTCAAGAGCCGACGAAGCCAATCTGCTTCGACCGTAGTTGTATCTAGTGCTGTGAGTTCTGCTTCCATTGTTGACCTCGTTAAGATGGTCTGCTTGCAAGACTTCCAAGAAACATCGCCACCTTCATGAGTGAATACATATCCACTCATGGCCTTTTATCTCATCAGCATCTGAGATCCAGTTTGAGTCACTATACCCTTCAAGCACCTTTGGGTGCCCGGTGTAGTGAATTCCATAATTCGCAGTGCCTTTCAAATAACGCAAAACTCTCTCTAGAGCTTTCAAATGCATATCTCCTGGTTTTGAGACAAACCGACTCAGTTTGCTAACAGCAAGAGATGTTAGGTCTTGTAGCACTGGCTAAGTACATAAGCGAGCCAATAATATGAGAATACTTCAATTGATCTCTAGCAATTCTTCGATTCTTTCGAAGCAGCACGCTAGCATCATATGGTGTTGGAGAGGGCTTGCAGTCGCTATAGCCAAAGCGACTCAAGATCTTTTCCACATAGTGAGATTGAAGCAATGTAATCCCACCATCATCATATCTCAACAACTTGATGTTCAGAATGACACCAGCCACTCCTAAATCCTTCATCTCAAAACAGCGAGATAGGAAATCCTTGACCTCCTTAATAACATTCAGATTTGTTCCGAAAATTAGTATGTCATCAACATACAAGCAAAGCATAACTCCCTCGCCCCCACCATGGCGATAGTACACACATTTGTCAGCTTCGTTCACAACAAAGCCTGCAGCTGTTAAAGTTCTTTCGAACTTCTCATGCCACTGTTTGGGTGCTTGCTTGAGTCCATACAAAGACTTCAGCAACTTGCACACTTTCCCTTCCTGACCATCTATTACAAACCCATCTGGTTGTTCCATATAAATTTCCTCATCCAACTCTCCATTTAGGAAAGCAGTCTTAACATCCATTTGATGAACGAGAAGACCATGTGAGGCAGCCAGTGAAAGTAGAACTCGAATAGTGGTCAGTCGAGCCACAGGTGAGTAAGTATCAAAGAAGTCTTCACCTTCCTTTTGGGTATAACCCTTAGCCACGAGCCGAGCCTTGTACTTTTCGATAGTACCATCAGGCCTAAGCTTCTTCTTGAATGCCCATTTGCATCATATAGGTTTGCACCCATAAGGACGATCAGTTATCTCCCAAGTTTCATTCGCCAAGATGGAATCCATCTCGCTACGAACCGCTTCCTTCCAGTAGTCAGCATCTTCCGATGCATAGGCCTCCGAAATAGAACTGAGAGTATCAGCTATGAGATACACAAGAAAATCATCAAAAAAGGACTTTGCTGTCCTCTGTCTCTTGCTCCTAGTAGGAACTTCATTGTTCTCCTCCACATGACTTTCAAAGTGTTCCATTGAAATGGCAGGTATGGTAATTGTAACTGGTTCCTGATTCGATGAACTAGGCATCTCCTGATTAGATGAGGTAGCCATATCCTTCATGGGAA